GGGTGTCACGTTCACGTCCTACTCATTCATAAAACTCAAGGTCTGATCAGATTTCACATCACAGTCTGCGTTCAGGAGATCATCATGAGCATTTCAGAAAATTTTCAAGGGGTAGAGGCTTCTTTATTCTCCCAAAAATTGTTGTAGTACGACGTCTCCGACATCTTGCAGCTACCAAATAGGGTGATCGTTCAATTTGAAGACTTTATCTGCATCTCCATTTCCGCGAACACACCGTTTTTGGAACTATTATGATTGGCTCGATACAAAAAAATGTACCAACTTCCAATCTGAAGCAGTAGCAGGGATACAAAAGGTAGGTCAGGTTGCTTTAAATCGTCCAATCCAACGACGACGCGAAAAATGCGTGTCAAGCCATCCAGTTGTATTTATATTCATCATCCAATATCTTTCTCAAGAATTTAAGAGGAGATTATAGATAAAATAGCATGTTTCAGAACGAATATACTTATTTATCTCGAAAACGGATCGTTCCTCGGAAAAAATTGGAAAGCAAAAAAAACCTCTAAATTGAACAATCCACCCTATTTGGTAACTCGAGAAGATTCCTGAAAACTATCAACCACACCAGATCTAAAATTGATATCATCAAAGATGAGCGAGATATTTTAATTATTAGAAAAAAATTCTCAAATTGACCCACTGTAGATCCGCGACTGATCGAGATCGGACTCATGTTAACCCAAACTTTTCCATTCGAAATGATGAGATATCTGTCAAACATTCGAGTTTATGCTCCAAAACCTGAATCACCCTGTTTATATACATTGTTGCTGACTTGTGTTGTGCTATTTCCGAAAAATAAGCCAATATCATCACCGTCTCCGAGAAAAAATCATTTTATCTTTCATTCCACTTCGCGGTTACGTGAATTATTAAACTACCATCAAGTTCGCAGTCTTCAAAAATAAAAAAATCAGTCTGACAGATATTTGAGAGCTTCAAATAAATGATGAAGATACCTGCAACGCAGGTGTAATTCCTGTGAAAAACTCCACATTTCAAGTCTAAAATTTTCTGATGCAATATAACGTGAGATCTTCCCAATATTGATTCGTCGTTTTGTTGTCACAGACGTAAATAGTGTATTATACATGAAAAAAATATTAGATTTCAGCTCGAGATTTTCTGTTTTCCTTCGCTACGCGTCGGGAGACAACATAACCTCGAGCTAAGATCTACTTCTATATTTCCTTGAAGGATAAATAACAAGTTTTTTTTCACCACTAGCTATAAAACCTACAATCATTTACTCATTCTCGAGGTGTGAAGAGTGTTTTTACTACCAAGGTAGTTTTCGTCATTTTATGAACCATAAGTCGATGAAGGCATAGCCACCTCTGTTGTTATTAACCTGAATGCACTGTTCTTTGTGAGTATTCATCAATAACGACTTGTCATAATATGCTGCCATGGTGTATATGACTAATTCTTGAAAATAAGTACTTGTATAGTAACAGTATGTCCATATTCCGGTTTCAGAAAAATGAAATGATTGAAATATATTGCTAGTGGTGGAAAAAATTCAGTATGTTATCCTTTGTATCGAAGAATATTATTAACACAGGACTCATACCCCTCTGCTGAAACATCGGAATATAATCTTAGTCCCTGGGTGATAATGATATTATTCACTACGTTGGTGTATAAATAGCTATCCTATGCAATTTCAAGTTAGGTTTTTTCACTTCAATCATGATTTATCAAGTTAATTATCAAGTAATAGAATGAAATCGACTATAGGTGCGTACTCTTGTGTATTTTCACCCTATGATAAAGATTTCTGGAGCATTATGCTGATTCAAATATTTATTGTTATTCGAAATTCACGAATTGAATAGAACTCTTTTTTTTTGGCAATTAATCAGAAAGTATTATTTTGTTTCTATTCTGTTATGTCTATGATTATGCACCCTTGATAGGATTGGACTATAATTTGAATTTTTTGGTTCTTGTCTTGTTATTGTCTTAAGAATCAAGATAAACCAAGACCAGAAATGGAAAACGAAGTTCATGAAAATTTAAGACGGGAAAAGTACTGGGAAACGAATCTTTAGAAAAATCGAGACACGACAGGAAATGCAGATTCGAGTACAAGATTCCTTAGCAAAAAATCAAGAATTCTTGAAATATCATGATACACAAGACTGTTGAAAAAATACGCAAAAATGCTATTCCAATCCTCAAATTCGAAAACATTCATAATTAGCTTATATATGTATAAGTCGAGCACAAAACCTAGTATATGTAAAAATACATAACACAATTCAAGACTTATTACGCCCGAGCCAAGCCTGATGCTAAAACCCATGCAAACAAATACTAATCCGGATCTGGACTAAGCAAAGTGTCTGCGAAAAGGTAATTATTGATTGCGATGTGATTCGCACATATATAGATTAGATAAGATTAGATTCGGAATGGGCCCTTCAGACTATCTGCCTCCACACCGCGACCTCTTCAGATCTATTGCGTCTACCCTCAAAATCGTTCAGAGTTCTTTGACTAGCCCCGCCTTCTTTATGAGACTGTATAGGATAGCTTTCAGATCCCCTGTGTAACTTTGGGCTCCTGGTTTTTCCTCACCCAGCGTAAGGAACCTTACTGCTGTCTCCTCCTCTTCCTGACAAAACCTGCACAGCTGTTCTTCAGTCAGTCACATATCATGTAACCAAGAGGTTTGTTTTGATTCATATCAAAACCTCTCTAGATCGTTCTGCTCACGCGCAATCGCTTTGCTCAGCTACGGAAATAGATCGAAAACACGATTGCGCACGAGCAAAACCATTTTGGAATTGTTCTAAAGAATACCAAAACAAGCATAAGATGCCCTTTGCGCCGTGCCAATAGTTATACACGGTGTTTCCGAAATCAAAGCTATCAATGAAATGGATGATAGGATATGAAAAAGCAGAGGGAAATCAAAGGATACACTTCTTTTCAAAAATATATCTTGGAAGATATTAATGCATCAAAGTTTTCCGGAAATTTTTGTGAATCATTCCTCCATGGTTAATAGCCCACCCAACGTATGCTTTCGATTAGATCACGCTCGGATCACGAGCACCAAAAGTACCAATGGCTTCTGCAATTTTGCCGGATATTCAATAATAGTTGAAAGATTAAGTCATGGTGGGAGCGCTTCTTCATTGAGAAATGTTCAAATTCATCGTGTCAATATGTCTCGATAGAACAGCCCATTTCATCCCAGGTAGTACATGGCGACTATACGACGTCTAAAAGACGGTATCACATTCGGCCAGAAGACGTATTCGAAACCATGTTGCTTTGTCTTCATGTAATAATGCTGGCCAATAAACAATATCGCAATAAGCTAAACCCGATAGGATCGAAGAATTGCAAAGTTTGAGCTTCACACTAGTACTCAGAATGTCTCTATGGAGGTATAGTACCCCCAAAATAATCTACTGCTATCTGATTTATCCTTTCAGATTCCCTGCCATTCATTATCCATGTCGAATCAAATGTGCAAATGGCAATTGTCGTTCCAGAATATTTTCAGAGTAAAAAAAGTACGTAGGAATTGTATAGTTGGCAACATTGTTACGAGATACAAACGGCAACTGGTACTGGTACTGGTGGGGGACGTTTCCACATCAGCAACTAGTCCCTAATGGGACCTTTTTGCAAACCCCAAGTGTTTTCAATGACTGATGTGGTTCGCTCAAGAGAGCTGGCTAACATCCTTTTCAGGCACCGCCCATCAGCTCTCTTTCAGAGTTTTTCAGCTGTGTTTTGTAGGCTAGTAATGTACTCACTACCATATGCGCAGTGGCAGGCCTGCTAACTATCCTCGTTAACCCCCGAGACCGAGGTCTACTAAGCAGCTGGCCCGCTCTCACGCTCAGCTGGTATAGTTTTTCCACACCCACCTACATGAACCGTCCTACTTCTTCTCTGATGCTCACAACCACATCATAATATCTCTCTGCGTGTTCTGTGTAGGCTTTGTTACTAACTCCATGCGCCACTTTAGGAGCAGCACTGTTAATTGGAACGTGTGCAGGACTATCCCCAGCCGATGCTCCGAAATTTTACAATATTTAATTCGTAAATAAAATATTGAAAAAAGTTCCTTGCTCGTGCTGGAGATCGAACCCACGACCTTGCGGTCGTGAGACGGACGCTCTTCCACTGCGCCAATCGCGGCCCGATACAAACGGCAAAGAAATGCTGTTATTGGTGGCATTTCGTAGATACCAAATTCAGATAAGGAAATGACAACATTTTTCGTTGAAAGAGACTATTTTCTATCATTATTTGAATTGGATGACAGATTTTCTTGATATTTCAGTATGAAATAACTTATTCAAATGAAATTCAGCGGGAATAAGAAGTTCTGAAGACCACATATTGACGTCCATAATAAGACGTCCAAAAGATGCTGTCCACGTGACGTCAGAAAAAAGACGTTATAATTTGGTCAAATGACGACAGGGACCAGAAATGACTCAAGAGAGCGGTCCTATAGACGAAATTTTCGTCAGTGTGGCTACCTGGAATTCTTCGCCCCAATTTCGGAAACACCTTGTATGGCTGAGAACGACTTAACCCCTCGAGTAATACAAGGTCAACTATTTCGAGAATTTCCAGAACTTCTTGATTTCTTGGGATTAACACAAGAAATGAAGTGTCAAGAAATAGCCAATACAAGAAATTATCAATTTCTTGAAACATTTTTGAAGACTAGACAAGAAATAACCTTCAAGACAAGTATTCTTGTCTTGATCCATCCCTGACTGTTGATATCAAGAATTATTGATTCCTATTTCCGAGAAACATCTTATTATGTTCTTCGCTATTATAGTGAAAATGTAATAATTTATCATCGTTGTTTTTTCATAACGTGTATCTGAGAATATCTCTGGAGATAAACGATATTTTGTTACCCCGTCATCAATCAGTCAATTCGTTGAATTTATCAAATGACAATCATGAACATACCTCGCAAATTCCACCTAACAAAATTTCACCTCACAATTCCACTCTGTACAGTAGTAAATGGTTCGCACCGACGAAAAGTACTCTCCGCGCCACGAAATCCCGTCTACGCACTCGCGCGATATTTTCAAATCGAACAATCGACAACCGGCGTCGAGGTTTCCAGAGCGGGCCACGATTTCCCACTGGATCCGGGAAGGCCGTTTGCGCCGAGACGCCCCGCCGTTCTGCGCCGCCGTTTTCAGACTTTTCCGCTCAGCGACGGTCGCCCCAAATTCCACAAAGAAAGCGGGTTGTTTCGCTAATTTGATAGTTTTGTCCAAATATCTGCAAGTTTGCTGGTGCAATATTACATTTTTGTTTCCAAGATCAGAGACTGTCGAATGCGATGTTAAAGTTTCACATACTCTCTATGTATTCACCAGTGGAGGGTTGAATAGCGTTGCTAGGGTAAACTTGTTTTTCTACTACTGCTATGAAAAGTAGCGCATTTCTCATAGCTTATTTATAGTTCCAAAACCATGTATTGCTCATACTGTGAGAAATATTCTTTCTCACGGCACTTTGCCAACACCACATACATTTCAATGGAGAATCAACAAAAATCGGCTAAAACTAAATTGGCTGGGGTTCAGCTTTGAATAGGTGTCACAACTGTCAGAAGAAATTTCTCAAATTTCAAGTTCTCATAAGTGCTCTTGATAGAAATCGCAGTTCCCATCAAATATTATTCCAACAATTCATGATAAATAATATAATGTAGGTATATACCGAGATGTGACGATTTTGATAAATACACCGCCACCCTAACAACACAGGGATGTCCTAGGTACGTCCCTTTTTTGTCCCGTTGTACAAGGACATGATTGGGGCATCCAGGGGATGTCCCGCAGTAGTTGTCCAGTGGACATCCCGCCTGGTACATCCCTAGGTTATCCTATTCGTGTCCCTGGAATATCTGATATCCATTCACATCAGAGTCATTGAATTTCATTAAAGTATTAAGTTGCATTTTTTTGAAAATGTTTGTTTTTCTTCCGGAAAATAATCGTTATGAAAATAAAGAATAAAGTTTCAGAACTTCTTGAGAAATTACCATTTTTCGCAAACAGAAATCGTACCATGCATGAGGCCCCGCATTTTTAAACACCCAAGAATGATATAATAATTATACCCAAATCCTAACAAAGTTGTATTTATTCAGGTTTCTGTAGTTAAGTCCTGTTCATAAATCTGTTTAGTACATAAATCTTCAGGAGGCTCGATAGCCAATGGAGTAGATGCGTGCCTGATAAGCCAAAGGTCCCGGGTTCAATCCGTACTCGACCTACATTTTTTTTTCTTTTGTCAAAGGGATGTCCCTGGGATATTCTTGGGACGTCCTACGGATATCCTTTCTTTGTACTTGGTACATCCCAGGGACGTACCAGAAGGACATCCCTAGGATGCCTCTTTTTGTGGAAAGCGGATGTCCCTGGGACGTCCCTAGTATGTACCATGTCCCGGCACAGGATATCCCAGGGACGTCCCCGTAGAAAATGAAGGACGTCCCTGGGACGTCCGTGGGACGTACTCGTGTTGTTAGGGCAGAGAAAGAGATAATGAAAAAAGTTGCGAAAGTTGGATTTGTTTCCGGAAATTTCAAGAAAGAAGTATGAATTGGCATATACCAAAAACTCATGGAATCTAAAAAAATTACAGAAATGATATCTTTATCAGAAAGTGTACTTTTTTGAAATACTTTGAGGAACTAGGGAAGGCGTCTACTTTACACAATATAGTGCATAGTGCCACATAATAAAATGAAATCCCAATAAGTTACATTACTTGGATTCTCTGGATAAGTGCAGTTGTAGAAAAAGTATATAGTATGCAACATGTGAGTGTTGAAATCAGGTTAATTTCAATTGAAAGTTGAATCAATGTCAATATATTGGCAATTTAGTGTTCAATGTGAAGTAAATGTCAATTTGTTATTGAGTTGATGTTGATTCGATTTTGAGGTTATGTTAAAATAATTTTGAGTTAATGTTGATTTAATGTTGGGTTAATGTTGAATAATTATTGAGTTAAGGTTATATAAGTTGGTATTAGGTCATTATAAGGTTAATTTAAAGTTAATTTTGAGTTGATGTTGAGTTAATGTTGAGTTAATTTCAAGTTGAATGTGAGTAACTGGCAAATTCATGTTGAGTTGATGTTAGGTGAATGTTGAGTTGATTTTAAGTTGATGTTGAGTTAATGTTAGGTTCATGTTGAGTTGATGTTGAATTAATGTTAGTTTAATGGCAAATTAACGTTAAACTAATGATGTCATTCAAATATTGAAGTAAGATTAAATAATTATGATGATGATATCACCTTTATGTGATCGAAGATGATCAGAAACATGATCCCTACTCTGGTCTTACAAACACTCATGACATATAATATAAATATTTGTGGTCGTAGGAGAAATAGTGTACAAAAGTCGTTGGAAAGTGCATTTTCTGCGCTCGTTCCATTTCCTAAACGTCCACTCGCGCGGAATATGTCACTTTCCACACTAGTTATGTAATATACTATTTCTCTACTAGCGTGCGAAATAGTTCAATTTTCCGCACTTATCTTAGTGTTGAAAGAAACGTTTCCGCACTAGAGCACTAAGTAGAGAAAAAAGCAATTAAACTTTTTTTCCGCACGCGCGCACGAAAAAATAGTGCACCTAACACGTACGTAAATATACTTTTCCGCACCCGATTGCTGGCCGAACTCCAATTACCGCACTTCTATTTATTTAGTATTTTGGCTGCCCAACAGACAGCACATGCTATTCTATTACAGGGCCGCCCTCAGTAACAAAAATTAAAATATTTTCAAATCGAAAGTTAATACTTCAACTATAACTACTTAGCTGAAATTGTGAGATGATGTAACAATTTAATTCAATGTGACAATTTGAGGAATATGATTTCTCACTGATTTGAGAGAAAAATATAGGATTTTACACTCCGTTTAAACGAACTGAGATTTTGACAAAAAATTCTATATCCTGACTCCTGATTATTGTATGTGGGACAGCAACGCAGCATTGGCGCATTCAATAAGTATTTTGATCTATACATACCTATTAAAAAATATTTATATTGCGAAGACCGAAATGGTTACAATCGAACTCAAAACACTGAAGACAATATTCGGAGTCGACCATATTATTGACCAGTCTGTAAACGAAAATAACATCAAAAAATGAAACCAAAAAAGGTCAATACCTCATCTGATTCAGATCAAATTCAACTATTCATATACCTTTGTTATAAAAGTGTGTTTCTTCCGTTCAATTTTTCCATTTGTTTTGTATTCTTGTTATTTATTTATTTTGTAATATTTGTATTTTTAAATCGAGAATTATGAATTTGGGACCACTTTTGAATGGATAATAAGAAATATGGTCATTTTTTTATGAGAATGTTTGTTCTGTTTGTTTCTCTTATTGGAATAGGTTACTTTTCTGTTTACTTAAAGTACATAATGTTCCGACTTCCTAGGTTTATTTCATTATCCTTTCTTGGAATATGTTTAGCATGAAACAGATCTGAATTGTTCACAATGTATCTACTGAGGATATAAAAATCGAACTGGCAACCCTGGTCCGCGCGGAGAGTGAGTTTCCAACAACTGTCATTTACTGTTGTCAAATTCATTATTCGCGAAATCCGATAGATTTCACGTGTGAATTGGACCGTGATGTGGATATAAGTTTGTCACGCCTGATTGCTAGCCTCGGCTATCGATATGCAGACTCGACTATAATAGACAGTTTTTCGTCGTTGGTACATAAATAACTATTTGAGATATAATCACTGATTGCTAACGGATATAGTTATTAATGTACCTAGGAAGAAAACATATTATTTAATCGAGCAATCAGACAAGACAATGTTCAGTTTTTTGCCGAAGTGCGCATATTAAATTTTTCCGACGACCTCGAACACACATTCACACTACGATCTCATTCACACGTGAAATATATCGGATTTCGCGAATAATCAACTTGATAACCGCAAATGACAGTTGTTGTCAACTGAATCACTAGTCGCGTTCAGTATTTACATCAGACTGCTGCGATGAATCTGAATCGTTGGTTTATGACATCTAAATGTCATAATGAAAGAAATAAAACTTTTCGATTCTGAGCAAGACGAAACACACACCTTTATGGTGTCAGATGAGAATTATGAAAAAAATTTCGCAAATAATAGTAAGGGAACACATTTAATCAATGTGTTTAGATGATAAATTCAAAATTAATTTTTCTTACAGATTTGACTGTGGCTGCGATTCTTTTGGAAAAAGAACAAGAAAAAGAAAGTTTCTGACATACTTATATTGAAATAGAAATAAATGAATGGGGTTATGTCAGGTTACCGTCACACTGTCAACAAAATGTCCACTTCGATCGTTTATTGCCGATTGCTCCAAACTATCTTTGACCACGTAACTAGAATCTGCTCTAATCTGCGATGTGAATACCGAACGTGACTACTGTACTCGCACCGTGCCGTATCATAGTGATCACTGCTAAAGCAATGTGTTTGCGGACGGAATATACTTGCCTTCAAAAATATTGAATTTTTCATTCGGAAATTATTACTTGAAATGTATTTTCTTGTAGAGAACGAAGAAAAATCTTTTTTTGTCATAATATGAGGTAAAATATTCATGAATTGGGAATAGCCAATGACAAAGAGGTCATAAATTGACCCCATCACAATCATGGTTATCCAATTACAACGAGGCAGTCCAACGTCGGTTACATATTAAACTCACGTTTGAAAAATTTCCTGCCCCAGTCATTTCGAATATATGATCAAAAAGAACATTTTATGATCATCATCTCGAATGTCGGACTTCGGATGACGAATACATGATAATGCTTCATATCAAGGCAGGAAAGATGAGAAAAACATTCTACCTACCCCATCTGAAACTCTGGAGGTGAATATATAAGCTAACATATATACACCGATAGAGCACTCGAGAGTTGTTGGATAATTTCTCCCTATTGAAGTCAAATACACTTTGCCAAACTGACTTAAGTTCCGAATCATCTCAATTCACGCAAAGTTCCACTCCAAAGAAGTTTATTTTCAAAAGTTCTGTAAATTATTGCTTTTTTAGATAGCTCTTTTTCAATTTCCACTTCGATACTTTGTTTATTGTTGCTCGCGCCTCCATATCAGAAATCTCCACTGCGACAGAGTTTTTTTCGATGATACCAATGTGATTCATTGAACAATACCAATTTTTTGGTAAATGTTACCTTACAAACGCCGCCATGTCAACTTCGAATCTTGTATCAGCAAAAAATTCAGTTTCTTATATATCTCTGTTATA